ATGTGTATAAGAGACAGGGGTGTGACAGGGGTGACGCCGGGTCCCCAGGGGCACTGCAAGGACAGAGCCGAACCCCAACTCTCCTCCTCGGGGTGAGGGTTGCTCACACCCCACATACGGACACACACCGCCGCGAAAACTGCCCCCCAAACCCCCCCAAACTGCCCCAAAGTTGGGGCGGTCGGAGCAGTGCCGGGCAGCGGGCACGGGCTGGCGCTGGCACGAATGGTTCATGCCGGGCACTCGAGGAAGTCTCCTGGTCTCCCTCTGCTCCTTTTTGCCGGAATTATTTAAATCTTCATGCATTCATTCCCAATAATCTCTTTGGCCGCTCGGTTTCTCCCTTCCCGGGGGAATTTCCTGGCTGTTCGTCAGGGCTTTCCTGTCCACATCGCTGGTGAAAGCTGTGGAACCGACTCCCAGTTTTACTCCAGTTTGTGTTTTAACACCTCTTTGCGTGCTGGGGTCCCGGTGTAATTTATTTGGGGGTGCTTTAACGTGCGCTCGGGTCGGTGAGTCTGGTTTCAAACCCTTTGACTCCTTTTAATAGCTTCTAACCCCAAAACCGCCTTTTTTTTTTTTTTTTTTTTCCCAGGGCGAAACGTCTTATTTCTCTTTCTCCTCGAGTTTTCTTATCGGCTTATTGCAAAACCCATTTGGCAACCCGCTGCCTTCCTGTGCATGAGGCGGGGAGCGGCAAACCCTGATCCTGGGGGGCCACCGGCGCTGGGGGATGGTGGCCCCAGCTCAACGCTCACGGCTGCCAAAACTGGGCCTTTACATTACCACCCAGCACGCGCCCCAAGTTCCTCTTCCTCATTTATACCCGAGCAAAGGGAATCCTGGCCTTCGGCCTCGCTGGCTGGTGGGCTAAGGAGCTCCAGAGCAAAGGGGGAGACCCCTAAATACATTGCTGAGCCCTGGAGTGCCGCCACATCCTGGGGCTTAGTGGATTATAAAACCCCGAGAAGTATTTTTGACTGTCCTGGCACCACGTGGCTTTACCCCGTCTCTGCCCGGTGCGATTTTTATCTCCAGTTATTGACATAAAGCCAAAGCCATGAATAGTTTGCTGGCAGCGGAGCGTGCTGCCGGCCACGCCATCGTCCCTCCTTCATGCTGAACACCCCCTGTTAAAGCCTTAACGGGAACCGGTCCACGAAGCAAAGACCCTTTTGCTCTCATGGGATGCTCCATGTGGAAGAGTAAATTGTCCCCCAAAGTCTGCCCCATGTGGAGTTTTCTGGGGTTCGGTGCTGCCTTGGCTTCATGGTGCCGTGTGGTTGAGCCCGATAATTGCGTTACCCCCAGTCTCGGATGCTGGTTATCTCCCGTATGGGCAGAGTGCATTTGGGTTTGTGGGAAGGTGTGTGTGTGGGGGGTGTTGTGGTGTTGATGGGTGGCTCCCTTGGTTTGGGCAGGAGGCTGTTAGGTCTCTGTGGAAATGTTATTTCTCTCAGATATGGGGCTTGTAAGGTCAAACGGTTACTAAAAGCAGGTGATCAACCAGAAACTGGTCCCACACTCTTCTCTGGTTCAGCTGTTGCTTCCTCCGGTGAGCACCAGAAAATCATGGAGGGCAAAACCAAAGTCAAATATATATATATAAAATATTATATAAAATATTATATATTATAATTTATTATATAAATATTATATTATATTAAAACCAGCACAAGTCTCCTTTCTATCTCCAGATAAAGGATGTGAGCATCCCATTTTCCCCCTGCAACACAAAAATCACGGTTTGGAGGCTCAAATAAGATCTGCCCCCAATCCCACGGGACGCTGCAGGGTCTCCTGGGGGCAGGTGATGTAGAGATGCTGGGGAAAACCACACGGGGAACATCACCTTTGCTGTAGCAGGGAGGGAAATGTCGATGAAGGGCTTAAATATTGGACAAGGTGATATTTGCTTCCAGGAGGATGTGTCCCCAGAGACCTGCCATGCTCGGAATCAAGTCAGGTTCAACCAAACGAAGGGCGGCTTTAATTATGCACGAGCTCCAGCGCTGATGGGTTTAAAGCTTTTATCTAATTCACTCTAAAGCCACAGTTTTGGTTAATCCGGATTGACTTCCCGTGGTGTGGACAAAGGCAGGAGGTTTTGGTACCCCCTGGGAAGTGAAGGCTTGAAGGAGGATTGATTCAGGGAGAAGTTCAGGGAGTTTCTTGGGGGAAACCAGAAATTCCCAGAAAAAGACAGTTTAAAAAGACAGTCATCAAGTTCTTTTTAAGTCATTATATCTTTTATCCAAACTCCCTCTCCCTTTTTTGGCTTGTGTCAAGTTACTGAAAAAAAAACCCAAACAACCTAGGAAACAAAAACTCCCCCAGAAAAAATACTTTTTACAGAGAAAATAAATTTAACTCTGCTGCCTCTCAGCAGAGGGAGGGGAAACTGAGGCATGGGGCTGCTTCACTTTCTGCCAGCTGGAGCAGAGCTGCCCAGTGCCTTCCAAGGGAAAAGAAGAAAAATACAATTTCTTTGCAAGTTTATTTTAGAAGAAATGAAAGTATCTGGCTGTTTTGGGGATGGGGGAAGGGACAGGTCAGACCTATGGGGGGTAAAAGAGGGATGTTGCCTGGGGCTCCAGGCAGGGAGATGGGTAAAGCCCCTTAAACTGCTTAAGGCTTGATTTTAGGTATCCTGGGAATGTATCCCGGAGGTATCTTGCCTTGGGATCGCTGGGGAGGGATGAGGGTGGTAGGACTGGGACAGCTGGGGATGTCCTCAGCCCACACCGGTGGCCAGAGCCAGCCTGGAGGAGAAAAGCGCTGAAGGTCAGTGAGGCTGAAAGGAGCCAAATCGAAAGGGCAGATGAAAACCAAGCAGTTTGGCCAGGCTCAAATTTCAGCCTGGTCCCATCTCATGTCTTCCAACCAGACAGGCTCGGTAGCATCCCACCGCGCCGTCTATTTGCTTTTGGTTGTGGAGGGTTTCAACCACCATCCCAAAGGAGAGAAAAACGATGCCAGGTCATTTACTTCCCAGCATCTCAAGTAGTTCCTGATCCGGAGCGAGGATTTTGATGAGTCTACTAAATGCCTATAAATTAGGGCAGGGAAAACACCCACGCTCTCCTCGTGTCTGCTGCAAAGGAGTTGGTGGGGAAGATGCGGTGAATGAATTGTGGTTTCGACCTCCAGCGTGAAACGATGGGAGCTGTGGTCACAGTTGGTGCATCCACACCATGTGGGTTTGATTTCCCAGAGCTTCCCACCAGCAGAACGAAGGGCTGCATCTGTGAGGTCCTGCTGGTAAATTAATCCACATTAATTATTTGGGAAGGTCAATTAAACCTCGTCAACCCGCTGTGAAAACGCCTTCATCGCAGCCATGATTTGGCTGCGCTTTGTTGGCTTTTGTGACTTTGCTTCTGTTGGCAGGTTCCCAAGCACAAAACACCACAGGATGGACGGTGACTGCTGGGATGGCACTGGGAATGCTGAAAAAAAGGGGCAGAAACCAGGACTAAAACCCTTTACTCAGTGATTTAGTGTCCAACCCCTGTCCCCCCTGTGCTGGCCCTGGGCTCTGCTCATCCCTCAGCTGCCTGTGACCTTCTCCAGTGACAGCACCCTCCTTCCCCGTATTGACTCATCTAAATATCCCCTGCCCAACCGCGGTAGATACTGTTACGGGAGCATTTTGGGATGCTGACGTCACATGCACATGCCTGTGGGTATATATATTTGAGGGCACGTGGCTGCCGGGATTGCAACACCGATCTCCCTCTCATCCCGTGCTGTCTTCATCCCCTACAGCTGACAGGACCTGTTTTCTGGGGAAAACCAAAGGTCCCGTGGGATAAAGAGATCCAAGGCCATGCTGCAAAGAGAGAGATGGTCCAGCCGTTGCAACTAGGTTCATCCAGACCCAACACGTGGTCCAGCATGGAGGAACTGGCTGGGGTGATGCCCTTGCTTGGCATGGGTGGCTGGAGGGCACTTAAAAAGCTCTGCATGGTCACCTGCATTTAACACCAGCAAGAAACCTCCTGCCATGACCCCAGGAAGGGCTGGGAGAGCCGATGAAGCAGATGCAGGTGGTCCTCACCAAAGCATCATGGTGGGTTTGCTTTCGGTAGTCATAAAAGTATTTATGCTGCTTGGCATCCTTGGGGATCGCTGTTGCTTTCTCCCTCCCCTCGTCCCTGCTGAGGGCTCAATGCATCACTGTAAGAGCTGGCATTCGTGCCGTCCAGCCCGTAGGCAGAGGAAAGGGCAGCTGCCAGCTTTTGTGCCTTCACACGCCTTGGCTGGCCATGTCCTCTCTGGCTCGCTCACTGCGGATGCAGCGGGGCCAGGGGTGAGGGGGTGGACTGCAGCCACGGCCCTGACAGACACAGCAGGTTTTGTCCTAGGGCTTCTGGGCAAAAAGTAAAGGAAAAAAAAGAAAAAAGAAAAAAGAAAGGCTTTTGCATTTCCAGAAGGAAAAAGAGGGAGAGCACGATGGCAAGGACAAGGCTGCCTTGTGAGTGGGGTTTTGTCTCCGTGATTACCCGATTCAGGCCAACCAGAGAGCCCTGTTTGCTCCTTGTCCTGAAGATGGAGATGTGCATCTTGGCCCATGTCTGGCCACAGCATGGTGCGGGGCAGCCCGTGCTGCCCTGCACACTGGAGGACATTCCCCACCTTGGCTTACGGATGGGTTTCAAATGCCTTATTGGGTTTTCTAGCTGGATCGCAGGAGCCTGTGGGGAGTTGGGTTGGAAGATGGGGTGATCTTGCTCCTTCGGTGCTTCAAAGCTGGGTGACAGGTTGTCTGCAGGGGACGGAGGGGATGCAGATGCAAAGGCACGGAGAAATCACGTGCAAGGTTGAAGTCTCTAGAGCTCTGTAATCCTTCCCTGTGCCTTTTAGGGCATCTTGTGTGGCTTCTCTTGGTCACAGTGACCTGTCCAATCTGTTTAATTGCCTGCCAGGTCTGCGGGCAACCTCTGTCTTGTTGGCTGCAGATCTGCAAAGTTCAGAAAGAAGGAGGAAGCTGGGGAGAAGAGCAGTGGGAAAGTGTTTTTCCATCTGCCCGAGACCTGTTAACCCTCAGTGGTCACAAGTGGTGTTTGCCAGGGCTCAGTACTGGGACCACTTCTGTTGAATATCTTATCCGTGATCAGAAAGGGAGATCAAGGGCACCCTCAGTAAGGTCACAGACAACACAAGTTGGGCAGGAGTGTTGATCTGCTGGAGGGTAGAGAGGCTCTGCAGAGGGGTCTGGGCAGGCTGGAGCGATGGGCCAAGCCAGTTGTGTGAGGTTCAACAAGGCTCAGTGCCGAGTCCTGCACCTGGGGTACAACCACCCCTGCAACGCCACAGGATTGGGGGAGAGCAGCTGGAAAGCTGCCTGGTGGAGAAAGACCTGGGGGTGTTGGTCACCAGCTGGCTGAACAGGAGCCAGCAGTGTGCCCAGGGGGCCAAGGAGGGCAACGGCATCCTGGCTGGTGTCAGCACTGGCGTGGCCAGCAGGGACAGGGAAGGGATCTGAGCCCTGGGCTCAGCACTGGGGAGGCCGCCCCTCGATTCCTGGGTTCAGTGTTGGGCCCCTCACCCCAAAAAGGCCATTGAATGACTCGAGCATGGCCAGAGAAGGGCAACGGAGCTGGGGCAGCGTCTGGAACACAAGTCCTGTGAGGAGTGACTGAGGGAACTGGGGGTGTTTAGGCTGGAGAAGAGGAGGCTGAGAGACCTCATTACCCTCTACAACTCCCTGGAAAGAAGGGTGGAGCGAGGTGGTCAGTCTATTCTCCCAAGTAACAAGCAATAGGACAAGGGGAAATGGCTTCAAATTGCACCAAGGGAAGTTTAGATTAGGTATTAGGAAAAAATTCTTCCCCGAAAAGGTTGTCAAGCCCTGGAACAGGCTGCCCAGGGAAGGGGTTGAGTCCCCGTTCCAGGAGGTATTTGGAAGACGTGTAGATGTGCTCAGGGACATGGGTTAGTGTTGGACCTGGCAGTGTGAGGTTAATGGTTGATGATCTTAAGGGTCTTTTCCGACCTAAATGATTCTGTGATTCTCTCCATCCACAGATAACCCTGCTGCCAAGGACTTGAGGGAAGCAGAGCAAGATCAGTCCTGGCTCGTCATGTTCATCGCAGAGTAGTTCCCAAAGTTGTATTTGGGGTTTTGCAGATGTTGCAGATTAGTCGGGGTGTGAGCGTGTGTGTGGGTTCTGCCCATGTCCTTGGGAAGCGTGAGCCTCAGCCAGCCAGCACCACCTGTGCTCTGCTCCAAGGGAAAAAGCAGTAAAACAGGGGAAACACCATCAGGGCTCGTGTCCATGCCACATCTGGACAGGGGGTTTGGTCCAGTTCCTGGAACAAGGGCCGGAATTATCCCCATGTGATGGGCTGGGGACATCACTTCACCCTTTCTCCATCAGCTATGAGTCGTCAAGGTGCTTTTTCATGCCATAGTGCTTTGCTTTGGTGAGAGAACATCTGGGTTGGCAGCTTCTAGGACACCCTCATTGCCTCCTTCCCTGCAGAATCTGAATTGGAGGTAGGTGCAGGATAGCTCTGGCTCAAAACGGTGCTGGTTTGCGAGAGAAGGCGTGCCCACGCCATCCTGCGGCGTGGTGGCACCAGCTTAGAGCTGAACCATTTAGCTGAGAAGGCTGGAATTGTTGGGTTTGGTTTTTTTTTTCACCTAAAATCATGGTGAGATTTGGATCGGGGCACATCCCACATACTCATGCAAAGGGAACCTTTACTCTGCGCTGGATTGATCTCCCTATAACCCCCATTTCCACAGGCTCCCCGTAACAGGGTACATCAGTGAGATCAAACCAGTTTCTTTTACGGGAATGGAGACAAATGCATTTTAATTTGATTCCTGGCCGATGGACTTGCTGAGCGATCATGTGTCAACTGGGTCGTGGGCTGTCCGCAGTGCACAAAAGGGCCCTTGTCCCTCCTGACACAGACAGTGCCAGACTTTGTGCATCTGCAGAGACTCTTTTGAGTCCATTTTTCTCATCTCAACTGGTCATTCTCACGCATAAGCCAGCTTTTCACAAGCATGGGCAGACTTTCTGGTGATGGTGATGCTGGAGGAGCAGGTCTCAAGAGCAGGAAGTTGGGCCAGCGAGATGGCCCTTATCAATCCCACAATAAACCCATTAAAAACCCATCATCATCGTCATCAAAAACCAACCCAGACATAACCCCTGTGGTGGAAAAAAATGCTCCTTTGGGCCAGGTTTGATTTCAGGGGCCTCCAGATGTTGTGGTGATGTTTGCTCTGCCGGAAGGAGCTGAGGACGTGCCTGTGCCAGTCGCAGGGATTGCTCACTGAAGAGCACCGTTCCCTTTTCTTGCCCTTTCTGCCTGGGGTTTAGTAGCACCTACCTCTCGCAGTGCTCAGCTGAGTGATTTCTCATGGATGGTTAAACACAGAATGGAGCATCTTTCCTGTTCTGTAGCACAGGAGACCAAAGTTCTGTGTGAACCTGGTGGGAAGGGTGGATTGGGACACTGAACTGGGCTGCAGGAGACCTGAGTTGGACTCCCAGGTGTGGCCTGGGCTTTGTTGGTGACTTTAGAGCAGCTTAGTTCCTCCTCTGTGCTCCAGATGCAAAAATAAGGATAAATAAAACTCCCTTTATCTGCTTGACCATAAATTCTTCATGCTAGGGACTACCTCGGTTGTGTCAACACCCAAAGCAATGAGGTCTTCGTGGGTATGTGATGTGCTGGCAGGAGGCACGCACTGCCACCTCTTGTGTCATTGTCACCTGCACTGAGATGGCACTGCCTGACAGACAGCGAGCCGTGACCGCAGGTCGCTTTTGGAGCCAAGCATTGATGGCAACCTTGACAGGAGAAGGGAAGGGTATAGTAATAGTGTATAGCAATGACAGTGTGGACGACGCAGCGCGTCACAGCACGGTGGCACTGGGGTTTTCTCATCGAACCTACCTCTACCAGGGACTCCTTACCTCTGTGTCCTTACAGCCTCTTTGCTTTTCCTCCAGGGTGATGGCAAACCTAACAACTCCTCCAGCCTGGACCAGAGTCATCAACAGTTCCTTGGACCCAAGTGGCACAGGAGACACCTACAAGTGCATATTTGATGAGGACTTCAAGTATGTCCTGCTGCCTGTCTCCTACGGCATCGTGTGTGTGGTGGGGCTCTTTCTTAACCTTCTGGCCCTCTACGCCTTCATCTTTAGGATCAAGACCTGGAATGCCTCCACCACATACATGTTCAACCTGGCCGTGTCCGACACACTCTATGTGGTCTCCCTCCCCCTCCTGGTGTATTATTATGCCATGGGGGACAACTGGCCCTTCAGTGTGGGCTTGTGTAAGATAGTCCGTTTCTTGTTTTACACCAACCTCTACTGCAGCATCCTCTTCCTCCTCTGCATCAGCATCCATCGATTCCTGGGCATCTGCTTCCCGCTGAAGTCACTGCAGTGGGGACACGTTCGCTATGCCCAGAGGGTGTCGGTCATCGTCTGGGTGGTGACCGTCGCATGCCAGTCGCCCGTGCTCTTCTTCGTCACCACCAGCGTGAAGCGTGACACCATCACCTGCCATGACACGTCCAGCAAGGACCTCTTTGGCCAGTTTGTCATATACAGTTCGGTGATGCTGGTGCTGCTTTTCTGCATCCCTTTCCTCATCATCATCGTCTGCTACTGTCTAATGGCCCGGAGGCTGCTGCAGCCCACACGAGGCATCTCCCGGTTGTCCCGATCCAAAAAGAAATCAGTCAAGATGATAATCATCGTCTTGATGGTCTTCATCGTTTGTTTTCTTCCTTTCCATGTCACTCGTACCTTGTACTACTCCTTCCGGAGCTGGGACTTGAGCTGTCAGACCCTCAATGCTATCAATTTGGCCTATAAGGTGACTCGTCCCCTAGCTAGCACCAACAGCTGCTTGGATCCCATTTTGTATTTCTTAGCAGGACAACGATTTATGAAGTTTGCAGGCAGCAAAATGCCAGGGAAGCCTCAAAACGAAATGGCACTGGGCATCGTGCCCAACAGTCACCTGGGAACCAGCAACGACACAGCCACGTTATCCACGGATGTGAGCTCCTAGCTCCGCTCCAGCGCGGGTGGCACCGTCTCCGAGACAGAAGGGTTTATCCCGGGTGCAGAGGGAGGTCAGGATGCTTCAGGGCCCGAGGGTTTTGGTGGTTGAGGTGCCGTGGCTCGCACCCACTTCAGCATGGTCCATGTTAAATGTGGTCCTCTGCTCGTCACCGTTTCAAACGTGTTTTTTTCAGGAAGATGCCACTGTGGTTCTACAAACCCCGTGTCTCTGCCTCTTCATCCAAGCCTGCCTCTGTTCAACGCTGAATGGCATCTCTCCACCAGTGAGGCTGAGTGACCTCTATCACGGTGGCCAAATCTTCTAAAAAAAAAAAAACCCAAATCACACCCTGTACATCTGAGATCATTTTCTAAAGCAGAAATGTTGTGTGCAAAAAGTTCCCCTAAAGAAATCCCTCTGCCCTTCTGCAGATTCCCTGGCACAGAGGTATCAAGGGTTTCTCTGTGCCTTGGCAAGGGAGGAAAGGCTCTTGGTCCATGAGGAGAGTCAGCTGCGGTTCTGCTAAACAGGGTGATGAAAATGTCGAGCGGAAATACCACCCGCAGCAGGAAAGGGTCTCTCACAGCTTTGTTTCCATGGAGAAATGCTCTCCCAGCTTCAAGCCCTGGCATCTGCTGGAGGGGACTCCCAGATCCTGTCCAAGGGCTGGCTTCCCATTAAAAAGGGTGCTGGTAGACCTTCCATCCCACTGGAGTATACTGGTACCATCCCACTGGAGTTTAGTGGTACCATCAAGTAGGTCACCTTTAGAGTTCTCCAGTGGGGCCAACATCTTCCAGGAGACCTGTTAGTGCTTCCCAACAGCAACTCTCGACAAGTTTTTCAGAACCTGTAGCTTTCCCTCAGCTGCTAACTTTAATCATCATCTCCAGCTCATCAAAATCTAGGGTGAGCTCTTCATGTCTTGTTTTTTAATTTTCTTACTAGTGACTCGTATTTCCAGCAAAGAAGCGAAGACCGTTGCTCATCCCCTTCTCTGAGTGCTGCCACATCCTTATTTCTGCTCAGAGGTGACAGCCCTCTGTGACCTTTAGCAGCTTGGTGTGACCCAAAATGCTGCCCAGATGCTGCTGCCTGGTCTCCCCATAATCCCAGTAAGCCCAGTGCTCCACTGGAGCCAGTCAGCATATCCCTTACTGACAGCGTAGACCTTCCCTGGGAAATTTGGCAACGCTAAGCCCTGGGTTTAGGAGCCATACCAGTAAACATGGTGCTAAGCTTAACCCCAGTCCTGTTTGGATTTGGCCTTGCATTCCCCGACAGCCAGGATAGTTCAAAGTAAACTGGAGAAAATATCCACAAAATACTTCCCCCGAAGGTCTACTCAGTCTTTCTCTCTAATTGTGGGGTTAGAGAACCAAGAGCCAAGGTCTATGGTTTCCTTGACCAGCTTTGCCACGAGGATGCTGTTTCCTCACCCCAAAAATGAAAATTGCTTGTTCTGCAGCACTGGACCAGTCGTATTTTAGGATTGGTTCTATTTTAGTGTTAGGCAAACACATTTGATGCTGGTTTAGATTGTTTCCTCAGACCTCTTAGTTTCTCCTATCCATCCTTCTTATGAAGTGGCTTGGTGGAGATAGACACGTCGCGACATAACCGGATGAGTTCAGTCAGGGGTGACTGAGGCCATTCAGGGTTAACTGGGAGGTTCCTGTGGTCCCGGCTCAGTGGAGCCGTGGTCCCATGGAGGACTCTTGTCCCAGCCAACAATGTCCTAACCACAGGAGGCAAAGGAGTGGACTGTCTCAGCTCTGAGCACCATCGAGAAATGAAAATAGGACATTTGTAGGGTGGTTCATCTCATCCTTGAGTGAACTTTTAGAATAGGATCGGGTTAAGATAGGACTTGCACTGTGGCAGCACCTTTTTTTCCTTCTGCCTGTGAAGGCTTGGCTTTATGGGGAGGGTCACGTTATAGTCACCAGGGCGAGACAAAGAATTGGGAAAAATTAATTCAACCAAAGCGCTGAACTGGTACAAACATTACTCCAGGCCAGGTCTTGCCTGGTCTCCTGCACTTGCCAGAAAGAAGCATGAACTCCAAGTTACGTGCTCTGAATAATTCAGCAAAAATGTGCTCAAAGTTCACTCCTGCAGTCCTGTTCCTCGATCCCACCTTTCTCTGAGCTGGCATCAGCTGACTTCAAACCACCACCTTGGACAACACTGCCAGTCCCTTCAGGGGAGCCCTTCTGTGGTCCCGGTCCCGTGCGAGCTAGTGGCACTGTTCACATGCAGAGCGGTTGGAGAGGTACCAACTGGAAATTTATATATAGATTTTGGTTTTGTTTGTAAAATCACTAACTTATACTAAAAAAAAATAATAATTGGTTTTAGTGACAATGACTGTACATTTTTATTTTTGTAACATGCAAACACCTCAGATTTCTTATAGTAAATAAATTTATTTCTACTATGAGCATTCTTCTGCCATCTCCTCTGATATGTGCACAGAGGAGGGGATGCTGGGGACAGAAACTGGGTTGTTGAATGTCATAGACATGTTCCAAGCTCCCAATACAGCTGTCCGCACATGGGCTCCACAGTAGATACCTCCAGCATCTGAACTCCTGTAGGAGTCCGTGGAGGAGATGGTCACCCCAAAGGACAGGTCTCATCCCTGCCCAAGGTGAGATGGAGCTGAGATGGAAAGAGCTGCTAGAGCACCCCCAAACCCAGCAGCTCATTGGTGAGGGTTTCACTTTATCTTGCTACTGTCTTCCCTTTTCCAGAAAGCCCAGTAACACCAGTGCTTGTCCCACGTCCTTGCTTCTCAGAGACAGAAAGATCCAGGGGAGCAATTCGACTGTCTGATGAGAATTTTCTCCGGAGGCAGGTTGGAGCATCCTCATACACTCCGGGATGGCTCCTTAAAGATGAAAAACCTCTGGAGAAAAAAAAAACACCAAGCAGGTCTTCAATCCTCTTTCTAACCTGTCCCTGGTGGGGTCATGCATCTCCTTGCAGCGTGCCCGTGGGCATTGCCCTGCAGACCCTCACAGCACTGCCCGTAACTGCAACCGGCTGACCCAAACCCTCTGATTTATCCCTTAAAGGTCTGGCCAAGATTCAGTCAGGGTAGAAAACGCCCCAGAAGAGCCACTGCTCCTGGAGTCCATCTGCCCAGCAAAACCTCCTCTGTGAATTCTCTTGAATTCAGTTCTTGCTGATAGCACCAGTTCTGTCAAAAGCCAAGTACAGAGACAGTGTATGGTCAGGGCAGGGATTTACAGGGGCCAAAACCCCTGGTAGCATAACAAATTCAACAGCCAGTCCTTTCAGTTGTATTGCCATGGACTTGGTGGGTAGATTCTCCTAGGCTGCTCCTGTTGAAGACCAGTAGAAATTGCTAGATTAAGTAATTAATTAATAATCTCTTAAGTAATTAGTCTCCTATCCCATAGGCCACTTTTTTTTTTTCTTTTTTTTTTTTTTTTTTTTTTTTTTTTTTTCTGGTTAACCCAGCAGCTCATGGAACCACCAAATCAAGAGGTTTCACTTCACGAAACATCTTGTTCTCAAAGTCTTCTCATGTTCCCCTACAGACACCAGGAGACGGAGGTTTCCTGAGCCTAACTACAGTCCCCATGATAAAATACAGTTTGTTTTCCATTGCAATTTATCTGCCACTTGCTCCTCAGCCTGGCTTTTGTTGTGCCTTTCTCTGCCGATGAAACGAGGCTCTTAGGACACGCTCATCTCCATTGATGAATTTATTACAAACTCTCATCAAGTCACCTGGAAATCTGCTCAGCGATAATCTGGGCAGCTCAAAATCCTTCACTCTCATCCCAAAGTTGATTTCTTCAGCCTTCGAATCAGTTTACACCTGACACAGTAACTGCCCATTGCCCTGCAGCATGGGGCAGAAACACCTCATGGTCCCCTGCACCATGGGGGAAAGCTCCACCTTGGTTTCTCTTTTAAAGAACTTTCTACCCCTTATAGTTGCCGAAACATGAAGACTCAAAAGCACGAAGCCAAAGAAAGAGCTGCAAGCCCCAAAATTGCTGAATTAGACATCCCAAAATACACCCTCTGAAAAACCCCTTCTGATTTTCAGCCCAGGTTTCGGAGTCCCACCCTGGGGTGAATGCCATGTGGACCAAGCTCTTGCACATAAATATAGCTTTAACTTCACACCCAAGTTTTCCCTGCAAGTTTTTTTGAGCAGCTCACGCCAGCGCTGACTCGTGTGAGTCACTTAAACACAAGAATAAGAAGTAAGCAAGAATAACATCCATTGACAGAGGTTGTGCAATTACTTCAGAGAAAACCCGAACCCACTTTTTTTTCTAAATATCTCTTAGCACGGGGAGGAAGAAGAGAAAGTTAACAACATTGATGGTTTCCTGACAAGCGAACAAATCTGCTGCGTGGGCTGTAGGGATGCACACTTCTGCTAGACCTTCTGAGCATCCAAGGACGGGGCTTTTCCTTCCCGGTCATGCCTTTCCAGGAAGCAGATCCTTAATCTGGCAGAGGCAGGCAGAGAGTCATGTGGTTACTGTAAGTCACTTGGTATGTCCACTTCTTTTTTGAGTCGGGAGTCCTGGCTTCATTTTTCTTTCGGTTTTCCTCCTCAGGGTTTGATTTTCTAAGGAAGAAGCCCTTCCAAGTCATTTCTGATCTGGTGGGCCAATTCAGCAGAGGGACAAAATGAGGTCCCACAGGTTTCATAGAAAATAGCTTGTCACGCAAAAGAGAAAGAGCCAAAGGAGCCCTCACCCAACAGCTCAACCTTTATATTAGACAACAGAGAATCCACACCCACTTCCCCCTGCAGTGGCTCGGGAAGGTGTCCATCACACCATCAACGATGAGCGAGGAAAGGTGAACAGATGGTGCCCCAAAACCATCCAGGAGACCAATATTGTGTTCAACCGAAGGGAAGACATTCCCAAATCCCGCAAACGAATCGTTACTGCAGAAACTCCCCAAAATGGATGGGCCAAGGCAGCGTTTTCTTTGGAAGAAACCAAACCAGTGGGTGTTTGAAATAACACGCCAATCACCCAGCTTTGTGAGGAGTTTATTTTAAGGCTTCCACAGGTTTAATACCAATATTTGCAGACTCCTTGCCAAATAAATGCTCAGGAAAGCCTGAAAGTTTAAAATACCCTTTTTCTTTTCTTTTCTTTTCTTTTCTTTTCTTTTTTTTTCTTTTTCTTTCTCCCCAGATACCTGCAGTTTTTTAAGCACTGGCTAAACACCAACGTCTAGGTGTGTGTTTTGGGGAGCAGCTGGACTGTCACACTGTGATTGCACCCACTTACACATACATAACCACATATACGTGCACAAACAATCCTTCCCACGCTCCAGGAGGGGAGAAGCCTTTGAGCCCACGTGCCTGAGCCCTGCCTGGTGCCTGCCCTCCCAAGGGCAAGGGAAAGCAAGCAAAACAGCCTTCTGTACCCCAAAACCTCCTCATTTATACAAGAACAACAACTCTTCAAAATCCTCCCAGTGAGACAAAAGCTGCCTGACTGTGCCTGGTCACCCATGAGATGAGCTGCAAGGTCTCAGCTTGGTGTTTGGACGTTCCCCCCTTTGCAGCAAAGGATGTTACAAAGCAGCCCCCTGCCAACACCCCATCTTGACTGGGTGGGTTTTGCAGCCCCGTTTTATTCTGCTGGTGGTAGAGCAGGAGATCCTCTGCCAGAGCAGGATCCGCTTATACCACCCAGCGTGAAAAGGCAACATGTCACAACCCCATTTCCAGCCCCCGCCCCTAAATCCTGAGGGAGCCCTGAGATGCCTTCAAACCACCAAGCTCCCACCCTTGAACTTGGAAAGGAAGGGATGGTGGGTTTCCAGCTGAGATCCCAGCTGGTGGGATGAGCAGTGGGAGACCTTGGAAGATGGTGGAAGATGCATGGAAGACTGTGGGCCTCGTCGTGCAAAAACCAGGCCAGCATCCTGCATGGATTTTTAATAGGGAAACCAACTGGATAGGCTGAACCCTGCTGCAGCAGAGTCCTCTGCTGGTGTTAAGGGGATGTGGCAGCAAGGAGTAAGGGGTCCACCCTGGGGAAAAATGGGATTCCCCATGATAGTGCTAACAACATCCTAAGAACACTGCGGGACCCGACCAAGGGATGGGAGCAGAGTCCCAGGCTAGTGTTGGGAGCCGTGCCAGGATTTCCACTCAAGGCGGGGTCCTGGTTTTCATCCACGGGACTTTCCAGTGGATGAAAATGTTTTCTATTCGCTTTGGAGTTCCCCTTGCATGAGCTGAGCCACAGTGTGCGAGGCGGCCAGGGAATCAGCTTCTCCTCCCATGACCTGCAGTTTTAAGGACAAGGGAAGAGCCTGGCCACCATCTGCCTTTCATCCAGCCACCCACCCATCGCTGCAGCTCCATCCCTGACCACGTGTAAAGGCTCGATGCTTATTTAACATCATTTCATCCTTTTCTCATCAAAGCTGGGACAAGCGGGCTGGAAACCAGCTGGCCACCCTTGGGAAAGAAGCCCAAGCACAAGCCCAAGTGCATGCATGGAGGTGGAGGCCATTTGGGACCCACATCGGGAAGGACCTTGGTACTAGGCCCTCACAGTGGGGATTTGCCATTATCTCTGCACTTAGAATGGGTTTATTTTGGAAGGATGTCCCTGACCAACCATTCTCCTGGGCTATGGACTTCTCTGTACAACCTCACCCATGACTGGACTGCTGGACCAGTCCTGGTCCCCTCAGCACTCCTGCAATGCCATCGGTGAAGCTGTGAGCCCAGAACCAGGATATGAGACGCGAGCCAAGCGCTGGCAGGTGCCCGCAAACCTCCTCTGCTAGGACGCAAGAGGATGCGATGCCTTTCTTAAGACCTTTGTTAGGTGAACAGCTCCACCACCCCCAGCCGGATGCTGTTCTTCTCCTGCTCCTGCTTCGTGACTGAGTGTGTTTTTCAGCCTGGCAGCAGGACGAGATGCCACGTGGGTGCCAACACAGCCTGTTTGCATATAGGATGCGGATACAATGTCCTGGCACGGTGGCTGTTCCTCAGGGCCTGTTGAACGAGTCCATCTGGTCCCAAATGAGCAAACAGGCCTGAGCACCTTGGGATGGGACTGCAAAGCAGGTCGTAACTCCTGGGGGGCAGCTGGCTCTTTGGTATGATTCTGTCACTGCATGCTGTAATTTGCAGGGGCAAGTAGAAAGGCTACAAGGAGGGGAAGGTGCTCAGGGGACGGCCACGTTCAGTTAACACAGCTTCTGGTTCTTCTTGGGCAGAGGATTCACCAGTCTCAGCTTTCACACTAGGAGAGAGGGACATTGCTGTGGTTTTTGGGAAGTTGTTGGATACCCCAGAGCCTGC